TTTTTGACCAAATAAGGTTAAGATATACATTCAAAAATTCGGACTGATCGGCATTTTTTGATGAGTATAGGTGATACGCACCATATGCACCATATGACGTAAAATTCATAATTGTTTAAAGTACTCAAAATACGTCAGGTGTTGTTATGGGTAACACCATTCATTAAACAACTATTTTTTAAAAAAATTATGCGGTTATTATCTTTTCCTTACACACTTTCATTTAAAGATTTGGGATATGTTTGGATGCAAATCAATCTAAAGGTTACATATGAAGCAAAAAATTGTATAATTTTTATTCAAATAAACGGAATTCAATATAAATATATAAGGTATATAAATAAACTTATTATAAAATATATGAATGATATGATATATATAAGAACAAGCAACATATATGAAACATGAATATAAAAGCTAAGAATGTTTTCCATTCATTTACTAATTTATTCCTTCTTTTTCAATCTATTTTCTTTTGTTCCAACTTTAAGATCAAAATTACAACCTTCATAGAGAATAAATTATTATTATTAAAGTTAGTTTATTTCATTATTTTTTTATTATTAATATACATATATATATCTTTTTTTTTAATTATAAGAAAAGCATATTAATCTTTTTTTTTAAATATAAGAAAATCATATTAATATATATATATATATCTCTTTTTTTTAAAGAAAATAAAAGTTGTATATACCTTACTCTTTCATTAAAGAAATGTATAAAAGTGTAGGAAAAGATACACGCATATTAGTGATATTTGAAGGTATTAGGACCACACTCCATGAAAATGCGTAAAAGGTTCAAATTACATATAGAGCATATAACATTAATTCTTCCAGAACTTTCTTATTGATATGGATCTTTACATTGGCTTTTATTTGACTATGTATGTATGTTTACTTTATTTATTGAAAATTTATTATTTAAACATTTATTTATTTTATAGAAGGTTCATTAATAAGAATCCATCTACTTTTTATTTGTGTTTACTAAGATCATAAGGAGAAATTATTATTATATAAAAAAGTGAAGTTTGTTATATATAGAGATTTACTTAGTATTTGTTATAGAGAGGGTAAACTGTATATACAAATATGCGTATTTTATTTCTTCAATAATGGGAAAGTATTATATTAATATAAAGCTTTACTATTATGTATCAAAGGATATGTAAGATCACAAAATTTAAATAAATAAATTCGAATACATCATGCAAAAAAGAAAAATTAAATAAATAAATTCGAATACATGTTTGTACATCATGCAAAAAAGAAAAATACATAAAAAACTCTTTAATTTAAAGTTATAATTCAAACGAATTTTATGTATGTAACATGAAAATCTTCTACTAAAATGTAAATGTGACAATTGCAAATGTTGATCAAAATAGAATTTCCACTATGCTAGATGACAAAATGTGAGTGATGTTGTTTAGCATGATTGGGTTCTAACTTTTTTTTTAATTTGCATTGATATTTCTTATTGAAATTAAAATGTGGAACAGATCTTGCAGGGTAATTATAAGATTCTCATCAAGATGGTAAACAATTGGTATTAATATTATTAACATTAATAATATGAAAATGTCAAGGTGATACAAGGAAGTGAAACATTTCAATATGTGATGTTTGATTATTGGAAATTTTACAGACATTTAGGACATGCTACCCTGAACATTTACAGCCATTCTCACACATTCCTCATGTTTACAAGGCTAATCTGACTTGATCCCCTGATGATATGATGATGTTAAATTTCCAGGGAAA